TCATTTTGAAACAAAGAAACAAGAAAAAAAAGTAATGCCTGCATGCTGACTAAAAGCGCTAGGAAACAATCGTACTCGTTTCACGCATTATAAAATGGTTAGTTACAATTTACTCTACCTTTCAAATGTCATTGAGCAGCACACTCAATATGCGGGCAATTCGTTCAAGCTCATCTGGCCCGTTGCCAAGAAGTTTCTCGATGGCGCGCACTTCTCAGGTAGCCTTCCATTCGCAGGCTTGCTGAGTCGAGTACACACACGCTTAAGCACGCACAGTGACTATCGGTCATAAGTACACCAGCACAAAAAAAAAAAGATACACGACAAGAGAAAAGTGAGCTGAACACCCATCGACTCGCACCAAAAATGACAGGTTGAATTGCGCCTCTGTGTGATTCTGTGCGCACACCAAGTGTACGGCCAACGTTGCACTCATCTGTCACGAATAACAGGTAGGCATTAAATTGCGACACTCTGTTAATACTGTGCATTTCGAGGTTCTGTTCAAAACTTTGAGTTTGCAGTAAAAAAGCCACGATCATTTTGCCCTTTCGTTGCAGTCACGAAATGCCCTTACAAGGCTAAAGTATATTCGCAATTTAAAAATTAGTACTTCAAATGTAGCACTACAACACTGTTATTTTCATGTCAATTCCATTGCTGGGAAATATCTTCATAATATATCATACATGTTTTATATACTTATATATTAGCGTGCACCCAATGATATTGTATTTATTCATGTGACTCACATGAAATGCATGTGACTTGTCAATATTTGACTTCTTTTCAGGAAAAAAAGTCTTTAGCATGTTTATTTTATTAGCCCTTTCTCTATGGATCCTTCGCCAGGTAAATATATAGCCATAAATTGGACCTTATAAGGGCAGCAGGACCAAAGTGGCTGTCTAAATCATGCGGTTAATGTTTCGGATTTTCGAAGACTACTATGAAACAAAAATTGTACAAATCCTTCTCAACCTCCAAGCAAATTCAACCACTATATCTCAAGCTGTGATCACAACTCTTAAGCTTTTAAAGGAGTCGGAAAAACAACTGTCGCCAATAACTTCCAAAAGTAATACTACAATACACAGGAAAAGATGAACCAATATGTAGCTCATTCATATTATACTCACAGAAGCAAACTTCGAGTTCGTTCCACAGCAGAACCGGGACAGATGTTGGAAACGTCACGCAGCGCAGCGGTTTAAGAAATTTTCGCGTTAGCAATTAAAGCACCTCCCATATTTACTTGAGATCTTTCACAAGATGTGATGCTCAAAAGCATTGCCATGATCGCAAAACATATTCTTTCAAATCCCCACGCTCAAATTACAAAATACTCACAGGAAAACGTCATCAAATAGGCCCATGTCTTCAACAAGCGTACCGAACGCTTAAGCGGGTAAAGTTGTATGATATTTTTTTTTTCAGTAATCATATAAGCTTGTATTAAAGGAAAAAATAACTTGAGTGCAAAATCTATTTGAGATGCTTATTTTGAGTCTTCTAACGTGAAAGACTGGCGCCAATGGGCACTTTCGAACCAATATTGTTTCACACGGGAGGCCAAAGAAAACAACAAGATAAGGATAAAAAGACACGTTCGAAGTGGAACCGAGCATGATCAAGATATATATGCAATTTCCACCCAGCCGATGCAACAACCGAGACTGCCGAAGCGACAGATTGTCGCAGAGATAACAGGATCTTACAGCCATTGCCAGCTCAGGAGGAGAGAAAAAAAAAAAAAACGCGTATCCAATCCCATTTCCCGCCCATCCGTGCGTCCCAACTACCCGGAGACACAACCGCTTCGTTTGCGGGAGAGTACGACCCGACATCCCCGCAATAGCACACAAAAACAATGAAACAGGAAGGCTGCACTGCTCCAAGAATTATTCCGCACGATCGGAAAGGGACACCCAACTTCGCACTGGAACAGAGCAAGAACGAGGCTATCAAATAACTCGAGGAAGGCAAAGAGAAGCCGGAAACCGGGAAATATTCGTGAAGCACTCTTCCCGCAAGGATTCGCATTTTGTGCCGCTGTATACGTCGAGGGACCGAGCGGACCCCAATAAAATGAGCCAAAGAAAAAAGTGTCAAACGGACGGGGACGGTGGAACGGAAGGCAATTTCGGGTGAAGAACCCTTTGGGGATTGGTGGAGCACCGGTGACTGTGACCAGAAAGACGGAGGCACGTCGTTTCGCGGAACACCGAGCCAGGAATCAATCCAATTACAGAGAAGCCGAGAGCGATAAACGGACGAGATCCTCCTGGCATTGTCTTCGTTTTCGTCGGCATTTCTTTCCGTTCTTTTTGTGTGCTCAGGAAGGAAGGTTCACCCCTCTGAGTGCTCTTCCCGTGCTTCGATGTCTGCGGCGGGTCACAAGGCCACGCAAAGGCTGCACGAGTTCGGGGATAAGCAACTAAGGACTGTAAGAGCGGCCCTATTTGTGTTCGTACCGCGCCAACGCGAAAACCTTACGGTTGCCCAGCCGTCTGAAACGAATTCCGACATTGTGACGCGTGTTTGTGCGAATGTTTTGGTCACCGATGTTTGTTTTTCTTCTAATGTATAGCTAGGGTTTATGAACTTTTCGGTTTAAACCGATAAAAACCGATAAACGTACGCCGAATCTATTTTCGGAAATTCGGTTTTAACTGAATAAGGTCAGTTTTTAGGTTCGGCGTTTTTTTGTTTGTTTAAGCCGATAAAAGTACACCGAATCCATTTTCTAAAATTCTTTTTTAACCGAAAATGGTCAGGTTTTTATGGCCGTGTCAAGATGGGCGGTGGGAGGGTGAGGGAGGGGGGGAGAGGGGAGAGGGGAGAGAGGGCGCTGCAAGATTCGACACTGTGTGATCTGTTTGTGATTACGCTCCTCCAAGGTTCAAACTGCAGCAAAAGACGTCTTGGGTTGACCTTCGCGGGACATCTGTGTCCTTTCTGTGATCGGGCTTAATGTTTCAAGTTCCTCATCCTAAAAAAAAAAAAAAAGAGAAAAGTTCGGGTGTGGGCTTGTATAAGGTTTTTCGCTTCATGCAAGATCTGCAGTCAGAGTTTAGTGAGTACAGGAAATATGTTGGTGCTTCAAAACGCCGCTTCGTGTCTCTTTTGGTAGTCCCATTTGGTTGATTGGCCGATTGTGGCTCAGGCAGCGCTTCATCTCCTCAGCCTGCCAGTGTCCAGTGTTAACGTTGACAGGTCATTCTCGAAGCCCAGGGTCATTAACAGTAAACAATGAGCGTGGATTAATGAGGAGAACCTTGGAAGGCACATGTGTGTTTAGTATAATAAGATCGTGTAATCCTGATGTGCAGAAGCTGAAGTTTCATGTTTTTTTGTGCAGTCACCAACTTGTACCTCTGTGTTTTTTTGTTTTTTTTTACAGTTGCACCCATTTGCTAAATATTACGTTGATGTTTTTTTTTTTTTTTTTTTTTTTTTTTAATGTATTTGTGCCGTTATTCTTTCAGTGATTACAAATATCAGAGCTACAAGGATCATCTCATCCGGTGTCCGATGGTGTTTCTTTGATATTCACCAAAAAACACAGGTAAACGTTTGTGGCCATGAATATACACCTAAAAAATCCGAAAATTGGATTTTAAAATAAACACCCAAAAAGTACGCCGAATTGTGAAAAAAATAAAAACCGAAAACGCGGAACCCTATGTATAGCGTGCATTTCTGAGGGTGACATATGCTCGTTGAGATTTGCAGAGGGTAAAAGATATTAAAGTTTCAGTAGACGAGGTAGTTATTAAAATTTATTATTTCAACAAACTTTACTTCCATTGGTTCATGGGAAACAGTCGCTTGTTTCCATTGGGCTATTGCAGTTAAATGTTCGTTCTGTGGGTTGTGTATGCATGTGTTTGTGTGTACGTTCCTGCGCGCGCGTGTGTGTGTGTGTACGTGTGCGCGCGTGTGTGTGCCTGTTTGTGTGCTTGTGCATGTGGGTGCTTGTGCGTGTGAGAGTGCGTGCTCGTGTGTATATCTGTGTATGTGCACGTGTCTGCGCTTGCGCTCGTTTGTGTGTGTGTGCGTGCTCGCGCGTGTGTTTGTGTATGTGTGTGTGTGTCGGGTACTGAGTCGAGAGATGTACTATTAGAGTATTACTGCATGTCTCTATGCCTACTTGACAAAATATCATTGTTTTCGGTCACGGCGGAAGAAGAAAGAGGTGCCTGAACGACACTGCCTCCCCATGGAACGAGGAGTCGAACGTTTGCTCCGGTTTCTCGCAAACGCTGTGTGATGTGCAAGATAAAACTAGCTCGATCAACGCTCTTTCTGACGGTCGAGGAAGACAGGGGTGTCCAAATAAGGCCCGAATCACGATTGAAATTCTACTTGCACTTCTCCCGACGGGAGAGTGTAGGGTTGGGGCTCGGCGTACAGGCGCGGCGGTGCGCCTCTCGGCGTTCAAAACTTGAGGGGGAATGAAAACGGTTAATACAGCTCTTAATAAGGTGCTACATTTGAAGGCGTTTGTGAGAAATAGGAGCAAATTTTTGACACACATTGTCGGGCGTGACTCGTGGCGTTCAGACTCCTCTCTCTTTTCCTATCGCGGTCCTTATTTTCGCTCGCATTTCTATACCACTCCAATATTTATAAGTACTCAACCAAGCATGCAATCTCCTCGGGCCAGCAGGCGCTTGTTCGTCGCTTCGCAAAGTCAGCAGATCATGCGCCATATACCCAAAAAATAAAAAAAAGGAAATCTGCCAGTAGCCCTTTTTTCAGAATGGTATACAATGCTGCCCGGCGCGGGTGAGAGCCTGCGCGAGGGCCCATAACTAGGCTATGTGCTCTGGCCAATAATATATATAGGTGTAGGGCAGAAACAATAGCGTATGGAAGGTTCACCTACTCGTCACTTCGTTGCTTCAGTTTCACTGCTCGTGATCACGCACACATAAAGAATATGTCGAACATTTTTCCCAATTCGTATAGTGCTAAGGAACATAAAAAATTAGTAACCGTCGATAGCTCAGTAGGTAGAGCGTTGGACTGTTTAGGCTTCTTCCTTGTGGAGAAGCCTTAACATAGGTCCAAAGGTCGCTGGTTCAAGTCCTGCTCGACGGATGTAGTTTATAATTTTATTATTTTGAATGCCGCTTATTTCTGAATTTAAAGTATCCTGGAATACATTCTACTCCCTGAGCACAGAAGCCACCCTTCAGCATGGAAAAAAGACTGCACGGCCTTGCGCAAATCAGTCACGCACCTTGAAACATATTGCCTCTCTTCAGCACAAATGTAATTGTTGCAGGGTATAAATTGGACAGACCGGGCGCAGCTTCTATAACAAAGCACGTGACGATATTATGTTTGTGTCCGAACAATGTGTAAAACAATATTTTGAAAACATTCTTTTACAATGTTTTCAGAAATAAAGGGAAAATATGTAACAAGTTACAAAATACCCAGTTTTCAACAAAAAAACTGCAAACGTAGTCTGTCTAAAGATAGGCACTGAACGGTTCTATATAATTAGGGCTCCGTGTTTTCGGATAAATCCTAAAAACTCCGAAAAACACCCGCAGGTAAAATTTCTGTCAATTCGAATTTATCCGATAAACTCCGAATTATTATGTGCTCATGCCAGCCCCCCCCCCCCCCCCCCCCCCCCCTCCTTTCTCTCTCCCCCCGCCCCAACAGCAACAAAAAAAGTATTTTTTTTTCTTTCTTTACAATTTGAGCAGCTCAGGATCAATGGTCCTGGGCAGTGGTTCTCAACCATCGATGTTTCGCGGACCCCTTGTGGATCGGCGGAGATGATGGAGGACCCCGTTCGTGGTGAGAGGAGAGAAAGAGTATAGGGGGTATGCAATGGAGGCCATATTTAAGGGCGATGTTTAGAGCGCATGCTCAGAACGAGCTCGCATTAATAGCTTGCTAAGGCCGGCTTTCTTGATGGTGCGGAATGCACGTGGCAAAGGAACTGCGGAAGCTCGCCGTCAGCACGTGCTCAGCAGTCGCGCACACAGATTTGGCCGCCAGTGAATACTCTCTATAGGTTAAATATAATATTGTTTTAATAAATGGATATAACTGAGGGCTATCGCGAAGTAGACCCCTCTTAGGCGTAAAACACATGCACGACGAAACCGTTCGATCCGACGTGCGGACTGCCGGAATGACCTTGGGGGGAGAGGGTTTTCGTAGCATCGGAGAGCGTTGAAAACCCTCGCCTTCGACCGTCGTATTGCGCGGTCGGACGTCGGATCGGACGGTTTCGTCGTACATGTGTTTCGCGCTTTATTGACGTACACAAGAAAAAACTCACGCGAAAACTGAAACATTTCTTCTCAATCTGGAAAAAAAAAAAAAAAAAAACTTTTGTTGCCGGGCACGACTGATGAGGCAGGGCTTCGCGGACCCCTAGAATGCCTTCGCGCAATTCAAAGGGTCCGCGAACCTCCATTTGAGAACCACTGCTCCTGGGTAAATGACACCCTAATTATCTTTGAAGACTCGGATCGTTTTCAAAAGGGGGTCTTACGGCTTGTCTTGTCAAGGTTGGTTCAGGAAATTAGGTCATCGTACCATTCGTGTCACGACAAAAGCCACTCTTTTGGTTTCCAGTTTGGGCCATGGGAGTTGGGGTTTAAAGAAAGCAGAGGGTATGTTTCTGGGGTTAACATTGAAAGCTATTGACCATAGAGATTGTATAAATAGGGAAGAGGGGCAGTTGAAACTTCTCTATTGCATCCTTAACCACTTCACCTTGCACGGCCGCGGGATAGATTGATTGGATGACTACAAGCTTCTTGCGGCTACCTCCGGCAGTTTATTGATTTTAGGTATCGACGTTTATTGAAGCCACACTTGTGTGCGACTTTTGTCATGGGACAAATTAGTATTGCCAATGACAACAACGCCAAATTCAACTGAAGAATTGTTACCTAATTGATACAAGCGCGTTTTATTTTTTATCTGGCATATGTTTGCATCCGGTTATTATTTATTATTTTTGATGGTATTATTTATTGATGGGAAAGTGAGAAATCAGTCCCCGAATTTCGGAGAATTGGGCATTTACAAAAATAAACTCCGATAAACACTGAATTTTTGCTAAAAAATAAACTCCGAAAAACACTTTCCGAATTTCACGAAAAATTAACTCCTAAAACACGGAGCCCTATATATAATCTAGAACAAACGTGTCCCAACCCCGCCCCTCGGAAGCCTTCCGACCGGCCCGCGTCTGGCCGCAGTCTTTCCAGTGAATCCCGGCCCATGGCTCACTCCAGCAAACACGCTGCTACCGGCGCAAAAGAAAAAAAAAACAGGCACGGCGACGCGCTCCAAAGGCGCGATCTAATAGCGAGTTCGCGTGGTTCTTTCTGAGCGCACTGCAGCACTCTTTTCAGGGCCTGCATGTTCGGATTCCGGAAGGGAAGTGCTGTGGCCCCATCGGCTGGTTCTTTCCGAGGGCGCCCCTCCCTCTCAGAGCGTTCCGTAGCTCGAGAGCCTTATACAGGGAAGAGTTTGGCCAGCTGACGTGGCCTTGTTGACAGCTCATAAACTACATCACTGTCACGCTACGCGAACGCCATGTCAAAGCCCATTTCGCCATCTTCGATCCCAACTGAAACCGGACACCTATGCCCGCCCCCGTGTTTGGCTCTTGGTTTTCTCCAACCTATGACTGTGTTATTGTGTTTTAAGTTCTTCGCTAGCAGTATTTGGGCTGCGTCGTGCTTATTCAGGAGCCATATTAAGTTAGTTCCCGGTTGCCTTGTCTAATCTCCCTCCGGTCGTGCCGCGTCACCAGCCCGTTTATACGCTTCGGAAACGTTCGGTGCCTCGCACAAACTACGCTCGCATAAATTTCGTGATTTTCAGTTCTAGTTTTTGCCTCTTGTTATTGTAGGAGTGCTTAAAAATTCAATCTTGTAAACACTCTCGCACAACACACAACATCATATTGCTTGATTGGTGCGCTTGCTCGGAGGGTTTATCGGAATAGTGTTGGAGCCATTATAGGCCTACCATCACTACATACTTCACGCGGGCCACGGCCCCCAACACACTCCTTGCTTGGTACAGCCATGGACAATGCAAGCTGAAAGGATCATTGATTGACCTAACCATGCTGGCGGTGCTGCCTTGACTCAAGAATTTGAGCTTGTTACGAGTGAAAGAGTGCGGACAAAAAATCGGTGACTGCTGCTGTGGAACTCGGCCTGATCATGCTTGAGAACGGTACCAACTGTGTACTGTGGGTGCGCACATGCAGCTACAGTACATGCTAGCACTTATAACCCACTTTGCTTGCTTGCACGTATTTTCGAAGAATGATTTACCAGTACCGGGACAGCATGCCCAGTTAAAGAAGGCTGCGCTAAGCCACAATTAGTGGTGACAAAGAGCGGAAATCAGTGACCCTCGAGTGCTCCCAAATCTCAAATAAGGAACAGGCCAAATCAGGTAGCAGTTTTCGCCGCTCGCCGGTCCGCATTGTCGTCTATCATTAGTAGTTCAAATTCCCGTATCGGGCACTGCCCCTGGTATCCTTGGTCTTGCTTCTTCGGTGCAGCTTACGTCATGGTGCTACATCAAATAGAAGATAGTCTGCAAACTCATTTCCCTGCATACACTCAATTATTTCCTGTTTCCTGCTTACACATCAAATATAAATCTGACCTCCAGCAGCCGGACAGTTTTCGCAAGCAGGCGCGAGCTCAAAGCACTAATGGCTGGCAGTGGCACCCATCCACCCGTCCTTTTCTTGAAGCGCTGGTCTTAGGCGCCCCTTTCCTCAATTCGAAGCGTCGCCGTCGGCGTAACCGCGCCGCTAAATTTAGTGGGAAATTGAATAGCTGTTGAGGTCACGTGACGTTCATTTTCCAGCTAAATCTAACGGAGAAGCTGAATTTGTTCATGATCGACGTGACACGAAGTCATGTGACGTCATTTTCCCTGCTAAATTTAGCGGGGCAACTGGATTGCTGTGGAGGCCACACTGCGACAAGTTTCCAGCTATATTTATCGAGAAACTCTTGGAGGAGGTGAGGGTATTGGAGAGGAGAAGAGGAGAGGGAGGAGAATGAAGGTGGGAGGGTTCGCAGGAGGAGGAGAGAAGGGGGAGGTGAGATGGTGAGGATGAGGGGCAGGGAAATAAGAGGAGGAGGAGAGGTGGTGGGTAGGAGGAGGAAGGTAGGAGGAGAAGGAGTGGAGGAGGAAAGAAGAAGGGGAGCGTACGGAGGAGGAGGAGGGGCATTTTCTCCACTTCGTACCTTCCCTCCTCCTCCTCGAATGCTGCATTATAATTTCGCATTACAGGGATTTGTACACGCATTTCTTTTTATGAGAGTACACCAGTCAACCTGGATGAGTGTCCGTTGCTCGGGCTGTTTTTCAGGCACATTCCAGCCATTACTTCTACTCCATGTCCCAAATAGCGGCCAGGCTCTTCAAATGGGCGGGAAAAATCGGTTTCTTAACCTATCGCGTTCCGATTTTGTACAGCGTTGGCCACAGGTTGTGAATTTCTTCTATAAAATTCGCTACGAGCGAACTTAAACGAGGAAGAAGTAAAAAATGGAAAACAATTAACTGCGATGAAGACGCATCGAAGCCACCTGTATTCAAACCACAAGGCGCCCTATGGTTTGAAGACCGGTGGCTTCGCTTCGTTTCCATAGGAGTTAAGCCTCTTTCTTTGTTTACTCTTCCCTCGGGTAAGCTCGCTCTCTGCAAATTTTATTGAAAAAATGCATCCCCTGTGGCCAGCGCTGTACAAAATCAGAACGCGATAGGTTAAGAAACCGATTTTCGCTGTTCATTTAAAAAACCTGGCCACCATTTGGGACACGCGGTACGTAGTATACTGCAAGAATAATCCTGTCCACTGAATGCGAGATACTGATTATCCGATATGTATAAATGGGAGAGACGAGACTGGTGGTGTAGACAGAAATATTGCGCGGGAGCTGCACTCTTTCTGCCATTCATGAACACTTCGTGCATCCAAATTGACACTCCAGTGATGTGATCACAATCAAAACCTTGCGACAATGAGAAATGCAATAAGAGACATGACGACACAATAAATCTTAATCGCAGCTGAGTTTATT